TTTAAAATTCAAATTTGCAAAGGAATAAGTAAGGTACGTGCAGTGACATTGCGTTCGCACGTGGAAATTAAAATCTGTAAAAGGAATAAGTAAAGTACGTGCAGTGACATTGCGTTCGCACGTGAGAAATTAAACATTTGTAAGGGAATAAGTAAGGTACGTGCAGTGACATTGCGTTCGCACGTGAGAAATTAAAATCTGTATAAAAGAATAAGTAAGGTACGTGCAGTGACATTGCGTTCGCACGTGAGAAATTAAAAATTGTAAAAGAATAAGCAAGGTACGTGCAGTGACATTGCGTTCGCACGTGAGAAATTAAACATTTGTGGAAATTAAACATTAAAGCAAACTTAAGGTCAGTGACGTTGACATGTCAATGTCGCTTCTAAGGGATATCCTCTTCGGTGCATATTAGTAGCGCCGACTTCCAAGAGGCCCCTTCGTGCAAAGGACTCGAGAGACTTCTGGATTTGATATGAGAACTTGAAAAGTCAAACTAGCCTTGAACCAAAAAACTCAAAGAATTAAGCCACTCAATAAATAGCCATAAAGAGAAAACTGGAAGTTAATAATTAGCACTTAATACCGAAGGAGTTCTTTGTTAAGATGACGATGTAAACGCGCGTGTGTTGGAAATGAAAGATTTTTTGTTTAATCTGGGATTAACACCGTCTGTAAAAGCGCCCATTGTCTTCTCTAGAATTGCTAAATGTGTAGTGTGAGCATACAGTGAGGGCACAATATAGAGACTGTGATCAAAAAGATCATACATTATACTTATATAAATTTATAGATTTATTGAAGAGATGTTTATGTTATTGTTCGAGAAAGAGCTTCACTTTTGATATACCTCAATTCATGGCAGAGAATGAAGTGTGTATATTTCCATTGTAAATGTTGTATGTTGAAAAACCAGGGAATTTGGTTTATTGCTGCTTTGTGTGGACTGCTTTCTATGTGTGGCGTGATTTTATTTCGTGTCATTTTCTCTGCATGTTGTCAAAGGAAAAATAAAAGGTTTTTAATTCAACTTTTGTTTCGGCTCACGAAAATGACAGCTCGTATGTGTACCGCAAAGCAGACGTTGAAAGAAATAATACTTGAAATCAGTGTTACTTTTTTTCTCGACTGCAATACTTCGGGGGGAAAACGGTTTCAAAGCAGCAACGATCAGAAACGACGACAATACAAAATGTAGGCCCTACGCCAAAATCTACAGCGGCATTGGAAGAAATAATAGCCGAAATCAGCGTTACTTTTACCGTTATACATAAGTGCCTATCCGGAAAAAAGTTGCTGCTATGACGAAAATGGAAAGAAATATAACCGGTTTACCCACAAACTAAACTGAGAAAACGGTTACGGAAATATTCAAAGCAACGATCAGAAACGACGAAAATACAAAATGTAAGCCCTACGCCAAAATCTCCAGCGGCATTGGAAGAAATAATGGCCGAAATCGGCGCTACTTTTACCGTTACTGCAGTGCCTATCCGGAAAAAAAGTTACTACGAGTATGACGAAAATGGAAAAGAAAATATATGATTACCTACAAACTAAAAAGAAAACGGTTACGGAAATATCCAAATCAAAGCGACGATATACAGAAAATGATGAACATAAATTACGGCAAAAATTAACAGTAGGAGCGACAGAAATAAACACATGAAATCGGTGTAAATTTCGAGGAAATGCAAAAATCGGCTACCGTACCGTAAATTATGATCGGCAGTAACCGTTACAACGCTTCCAACAGTCGGAAAGCAACGTTTTGCAAACTGGAAAATTACAGTAGAAAAACAAAATGTTGGAAATTACGGCAAAAGTCACAGCTGTGTTTGATTTCAAACAAATTACCATCTCGAACCAAAACAAAACCCTGTTAAAAGAAACGTTACGAGTATGACGAAAATGAGAAAAAAATCAAATCGGTGTTACACACAAACTAAAAAGAAAACGGTTACGGAAATATCCAAATCAAACGACGAAATACAGAAATTGATGAACAGAAATTACGGCAAAAATTAACAGTAGGAGCGACAGAAATAAACACATGGATTCCGGTGTAAATTTTCCAACTTCGAGGCAATGCAAAAATCGGCTACAAATACCGTAAATTATGATCGGCAGTAACCGTTATGACGCTTCCAACAGTCGGAAAACAATGTTTTGCAAACGCGAAAATTACAGTAGAAAAACAAAATGTTGGAAATTACGGCAAAGCACAGCGGTTTATTTGATTTCAAAAAAAAAATACCATCTCGAACAAAACACAAACTGTTAAAAGAAACGACGGGATTTACAGCAATTGGAACAGCATTTTCCCGCAGGAATAATTATACGGAAATAACGGATGTTGCTGCACATAGCGAGAACTTTTCCTTGAATAAAGTTATGGCGGCATTTAACAACGGCAAAATAATCACCATCTCGAACCAAAAAACCTGTAGTAAAAAAATGACGGATTTTACAGCAACGTAAATTAGTAGGACTAAGTATTTTCGCCTATAAAAATAACGGAAATTGCTTTAAAAGAACTTATGGCAAACAATTGTACTATTGTATATGAGTAAAATAATGACCGTATAATGGCTATAAGACGCACGATGCATGTTTTCTATTAAATTTGTTTACGTTGTTGTAACTGTTTATGCATCATTTATGCAAGTCCGATATGGAAATATCGGCAGGGTATTATGATTATTAAGTACTTTTTATTCCCAATATGTTACTTATTTGGTAGTCTGCTTTGACCTTTGATAACGTAAGTCCGATCATCAAGCATCGCCTTGGAATGAGACTTGGCAATCAGTGCACCATTAGTCAATGAGGAAAGCAGAGCTTATACGGCCAAAATAATAGCGCTGCGGGTGATGGAATGGGTGATGGTTTTAAAATCATCGTTCTATGACTTTCAAAATCAATTTTTTGTGTGCACATAATTAAATGAGTGTGCCACACTTATCATAAATTTCCAAAGGAGTTATTGTGAGACATGCGACACGTTTACAATCATATGCAGCACTATTATTTTCCTTGTTAGATTTAGGTATAGGGCCAACGTGTAACCCTCCTCCGCTGTCAATGTAAGTCCGATTCAGAAGGATCGGCAGGTATTATGAAGATGGCATTTTTGTTATCTTAAGGTCATAATGAATTTCTTCAATGTTCATATACAGTGCGTGAGTTATTACGCGGTTTTCAAGGCAACCTGCCATTATCAGTGTTTGCACATTTGTGTGTGCATTATAACAAATAATTGTGCTGCTTTAAAAGCAGACAATGAAACTTGAGGTAAACATTGGAAACATTGGGTAGAATCGTTAATTTACATTGTGTCATTAACCGTGACAGGTTACAGGTAAGATAAGACGGAATTTAATACATTTTCCCGCAGAACTACCGTCACATCTTTAAATTCGTCAACGAACGGAAATTGCTACACAACTTCGAGAGGTATATCTTCCAAAAGATTACTTGTGGCAAAATCCAAGGTATGTAATGTGAATGAGTCAAGTGTAATGTAAGCAAAATGCTTGTCGAAAAAAAAACAGGGATGTAAGACATGCGACATGTTTACTATTGCATGCAACATTTCTTCATGTTCTTTTAATTTTGTTCAAACTTATACATCATTTTTGTAAGTCCGATTTCGAACGATCGGCAGGGACACATAATTATTATCAAGGTATATTTTGTCAGTCTGTAACTCATTTGGTAGTCTTACTTTGACGTTTGATAATGTAAGTCCGATCATCCAGCATCGGCTTTGAATGAGACTTGACATCAGTGCTGCAATATTTGAGGAGGTAAAGCAGATATTACTTAGTACTTGGTTGGTTGCCTCCTGAAAACGTCCTCTTGGGATCTTGGCATACGGCCAAAATGACAACGCTGCCGTAGTGGAAGAGACAGCTTATGCCTTGAATGATTGACAGTTTCAATGTCATCGGTCTATGACTTTCAAAATCAAATCTCTGTGTGGATATGAGTATACCGAACTTGACACGAATTTCCATAAGAAATTATTATAAGACATGTGACAGAATACAGTCAAATGCAACATTATATTGTCCTTGTTTTTAATTTGTAAATTAGAGTTACATGTAACCCTTCCTCCGTATGGTAATGTAAGTCCGATGTGGTAAGATCGGCAAGGATAAAGATGGCATTTCTTCATCTTAAGACCATAATGGATTCCTTTAATGTTCGTTTACAGTGTGGGTTATTTTGTGGTTTCCAAGACAACCTGCCAGTATCAGCGCGGAATATTTGTGTGCATTATAACAAATAATTGGGTCTGTTAAAAAAGTAAAAGAATGGAAACATTGAGGTCAACATTGTAAACGTTAAACACGGGTAAAATCGTTAGTCTACATTGCGTCATTAACCATGACATGTTACAGGTAAGCTTAGACACTTAAGACAATTACTGGCTGCATTGGAACGTTTTATGTTTCACTTCAGTAACAATGAGCCAGGCCCAGTGTCTTCGAACACCTGTTCACTAAAAGCTTTTATCAAAGAAAATGAGGGTCGAAAGGTTCAGACAGACTGGATGAGGAGGCTGCTTTGTTAGGACGAAAAATGGACCCTCCGACAGCCTCGTCACACCGTGTGGATCGCTCTCTGTGTGATTTTATTTCGTGTCATTTTCTCTGCCTGTTTGGTAAAAGAAAAATGTGAAAGGATTTTAATGCAACTTGATTTGAGCGCTATACGAAAATGGCAAATCGTATAATACATGCAGCAAAGCAAGACGTTGAAAGAAATAATGCTTGAAATCAATTCTTCGGGGCCAGTATCAAGCAGCAAAAATCCGAAACGATGAGAATACGAATTTGCGACATCTTCAGCGGTATTGGAAGAAATAATACCCGAAATCAGTGTTATTTTTTTTTTACCGTAACTACAGTGTATATCTACCCGAGTACGACGAAAATGGGGAAAAAATCAAATCGCTGCTACCCCAAAACAAGTTTTTTTTTAAATCGGTTACAGAAAATCAAAGCAACGAAAAATTAAAATGACGAAAAAATAACGGCAAAAATTAACAGCGGCGGCGACAGAAATAAACAATTGAAATCGGTGTTAATTTCCCTACCTTTGACGCATGCACAACAATGGCAACATATGCCAAACAAATTGATCGGCAGCCAGCAACCGTTACTAAACCGCTTGAAACAGTCGGAAAAACGAAGTTTTGCAAACGGGAAAATTACAGTAGAAAAACAAAATGACGGAAATTATGGCAAAAATCACAACAGTACGTATTAAAAAAAATAACAAACTGTTGAAAAAAAAATTGACGAAAATAACGGAAAATTGTTGCACATTCGAAAAGTTTGCTTTCAAAAAGACCTGGCAAAAACAGTTGTATTAAATTTTTTTTAAGTAAATAATGAAAATTGAAAAAAAAAACGTGTTTGGGCGCAATCGCTTTAATCTCCATTGTGTCATAAACCATGCATGACTGGTTACAGATAGACTTAGACATAATTATTGGATGCGTTGGAATGTTTCACTTCAGTAACAATGGGCTAGGCCCAGCTGTTTTCTCACCCCTGTTCACTTAGGAATGATTCGCAGCTTTCATCAAAGAAAAGGAAGCATCTAAAAGTTGAGACAGACTGGCTGAGGAGGCTGCTTTGTTAGGACGAAAATATCTGACAGCCTCGTCCTGACATCACACACACAAAGTCGAGGAACCGGAAGCAGGGAGGAGGACCGACAGATGAACGGATGACCTGCTTGCTGGGCTACCCATTACTGACTCTTGAGGTGAGTTTACATGCAGTACTGAAAAGTATACTGCAGCAGGTCAAATAGAATTAATAAAAAAATGAGTGAACTGGCGATCTTTTGATGTTCTCCCACACAAAGGTAAAGAGTGCTGGTAAGGGAGCATTGCTTTGTTGGGTTAATTCAACGTTTTATTCCCCTTTCTGTATTTTAGAAAAGGAGCACCGACTGGCTGGATGAAGAGGCTGCTTGCAGTCGCTGAGGATGAGAGGATGTAACTCCAATTTGAAACCATCTCATCAAGACAAAACCGAGGAACCGGAAGCAGGGAGGAGGACCGACAGATGAACTGATGACCCTGCTTGCAGGGCTTCCCATTACTGATTCTTGAGGTTAGATATAAAAAATACACTTGAGAAGTTGAACAGGATGGAATCAAATGATTTTCTAGCCATCTGTGATGTTCTTCCATAAAAAGAGAGTGCTGGTGGTAAAGCATTGCTTTGTGGGGTTAATTCAAAATTTGTTTCCCTTTTTTATATTTTAGACAAGGAGCACTGACGGGCATAGAGCTGGCTGGATGAAGCGGCTGCTTCCTGTCGGTGAGGGTGAGAGGATGTTACCCCAATTTGAAACCATCGCATCAAGACAAACCCTAGGAACCGGAAGCAGGGAGGAGGACCGACAGATGAACTGATGGCCAGCAGTAAACTGCAACAGATGGTTATTAACTTGACAGTAGATTTTAAGACTCAAGTCATAAAGAGTTTTAAATAATTTCAGAAAGTGAAAATTAATTTAAGATGTTGGAGAAATTTCACAAATTTAAGGCCTCCATGCATGCAAACACCGAAAAACAGTTGACTTTCTCTCCATTCTTAAATCAAATGGAAAAATTATGGAGAAATGTTTAACTTTTGGAAAATGTAAAGAATCACTGAGAATAACTTCTGTTCACCTATGTGTTGGAAGATGTAAGGAAGGTTAAAGACCCCCCCCCCCCTCCCACACACACACCAACCCCCTCTTTTTTCAAAAATTAAAATTGAAATGGTTATTTTTTTTCTATGGAGATATTTCTTTTATTGCATTGCAACAGGTAACTATAGCACTCAAAATACAGTTGCGTTTATCCGTTTATGATATATTTGATTGCACAGTTTTACTGATAATTAACTTTATTTTTCACTTTGTGTTTATTGGTGGTTTTGCATGTCTTTTCATTTTATTAATTGTTTAATTAACACAACAAAAGGATAAATGCAATGTATACCGAGTGCTGAACTTGCCTCATATCAAAAATTGTATTCACATAATAGCTAAATCAATAAAAGACAAAGAGTGCTTACAATACTTTAAATCAATCATCTATGAATGTTGATTTTTTTTTGGGGGGGGGCTGTTTCCTGATTCCTACTTAATTTATTGAGTCGCAAAAAAAAAAAATTCAAAGAAACCAGCTTTACCCTGTTATTGCGTGCTATGCACCGCAACCCTATAATGTTCTTACTTTTTTTAAAGGTATATTATTTTAAGCTAAAGTTCAAAAATGTCTTAATTGAATTGCTTCAAAACAAATTAAAACGTTTATTATTATTATTATAAGATGTTGCTATTAGTTTCTACTGACCTATCTTATACCTGACTTTGTTAGTCAACTGAGGGCATTTGACCAATCAACGGCGGTTGCTCTTTAAATCTCACCAATCAAATCACTTTGACTGCCACAGATCAGCATTGGGTGGCCCTGTCATTCCCATTATACACTCAGTCATGATTGAAATGGAGTTGTCGACAGAACAAGTGGAATCAGGTTGCATTGGGAGAATTTAATTAATTGTTAATTTACGTGTATTGTTAATTTATTGTATTCTAGAATCCATTGTCAGTGTTTTTTGTAAGGAATTGGTAAAAACGTTGGTATGTCAATCGGTTGTAAAGAATAACAAAGAAATAAACTTAAAGAAATGAGACCCTTGGTAGATTGTCATTTATTGTTGCCTTTTGTGCGTTTTTTTGTTTCAGCGGTAACAAAATCAAATGAAAGTTAAAAAAAAAAAAGTCGACTGAAATGACGTTTTGAATATGGCGATTGGGGACGGGGTGCACACATGATATTATGATCAAAGAACATAAAATATATTTGGTTTTTGTATAGGGAATATTCATGCTTTGAAGATATGTAGGCTATTCCGTGCTCTTCAAAAAATGGATTTTTTTTTCTCCCAACGGATTTTCGATTTGACTGTTTTGTTTATTATTGTCTAGCAGCCAATCAATTGACATATTTGAAGAAATAATTCAACTAAACGTCGGTGGATGTTCCGCTTGATGTGTCACTCAAAAGTGAATAACGTTGCTACTAAGCAATAAAAAAAACCCAAATTAAGATAAAACTCAAAAATGGCATGGGGAACTATTATTAACCAAGACCAAAAAACAAACTCCAAACGTTAAGCAAGCGTGACCAATAGTGCGAAAAGTGCTGTTTGGGCCCAAGTGGGGATTGTTCATTAATAATAAGCGGATATCAGTCGTCCCCCCCCCCCATGTAAACTCTTGAATTGAACAAAAAATAATGCATCATTTGCCTTCAATGCACCCCTTGAAAAATGTATGAGGTTAGTGACGGTGCTACGGGGGAGGGGGGCCCAAGTTTTTCCTCCCCCCCCCCCAGTTTGCTCCCCCCACCCCCGCTTTCTCCCAACACTTTATGTTTAATTTATTCACTGTTAAGATTGATAAAATGTGGACACATAACTTTCTTAGGCGCAAACATATTTCCTTTTTGAAAATCAGCACTTTGTCGTTTTTGACGTGGAAAGATTTTTTTAAAAATAATTGATATTATTATTATCAAAACATTGAAGGGCATTATGCATTCTATTCACAGTAGCTGATTTGGAGCGGGGGAGCCGGAGCCTGGTTACGGGGGTTGCCCCCCAGCCGTCAGATGTTATAGCAGTACAATGGGGCAAAAAAATGCAAAGGTTCCTGAGTTTATTCTCAAATTGCCTTAGAATGCAGGAAAAAGAATCCTGTGTTTCAAATTGCTCCGGAGGCATGTCTAGGATCACCCCCCCCCCCCCCCAAGGGCGGATCCAGGACACAATTTTTGGGGGGGCCAAAAAAATTTTGGTACCCCAAAAAAGTGGGTCAAAAAAATTACGGCGTGGGGTTCGGGGCCCGCTTAAGGGCCCCGAAAATTTTTTGGATTCTAGATGCTCTGTGGTGCGATCTGAGGCAATTTCTGACCACTTTACCAATGTTTTTTGAGGAAAAGATGGTGGTGTGCTCATTGCCTGCCTTTATTGCGATGTCACATAAAACAAATAAAAAAAATTTTGGTCCCCCAAAAAAGTGGGTCAAAAAAATTACGGCGTGGGGTTCGGGGCCCGCTTAAGGGCCCCGAAATTTTTTTGGATTCTAGATGCTCTGTGGTGCGATCTGAAGCAATTTCTGACCACTTTAACCAATGATTTTTGAGGAAAAGATGGTGGTGTGCTCATTGTCTGCCTTTATTGCGATGTCACATAAAAAAAAAAAAAAATTGGTTTCGTTTTGGGGGGGCCATGGCCCCCTTTGGCCCCCCCCCCGGATCCGCCCTTGCCCCCCCCCCCCCTTAGCAGGGCACGCCTTCATTAATTTTAGTGGTGCAAATGGGAAGTGTGTTTTCTCTTTGTACACATTTTCTACTTCATATTTTCCACTAAATAGTGGATGCATAATATCCGAACCTGCTTACTTTTTAAACACCATTATTCTCAACATTTGAATCTATTCCACGTGAACAACTTGGACTTCACTGAGGAAACTTTTGTGGACTCTTTAAGCAATCGCCGCTTGAGTTACATTGCCCTGTCTCATCCCCTCAATAATTAATTGTTTGAAGACATCGTATACATCCTAAAATGCTGTTGTTATTCGTTGAATCATTTATTACTCTATTCATCACTTCATTTCTCGATTTAGTCATCTTTTTTATGTTTTTCTTCAATGAAAATCTCGCTCACATTACACCCGATTCCCCTCACACATGGCCATTTTAACAACAACAGCAAACAACACCAAAAAAAATATCTCCAGGGCAAATTCAGGCACTCTAAAGAAAAAAAAGTTATCGTTTCGGTTCGCGGTAACACCATGTCCTGCTTATTATCAACTTTCGCTAAGTAGTTTTTGTTCTGATAACTACTTAGCGAAAGTTGATAATAATCAGGACAAGTTTTTGTCAGAACTAAATATCTTCTAGGCAGTATTTATTACCACATGGTGTTACCGCAAACCGAAACGATACTGATACTCCACCATGCAAAGCCTCAAATCTTATATGAAAAAAAAAGTAAGGGGTGCAATGCAGCTGAAGTATTACGTTTATTTCAGCGAATTTTCTGATTTATTAACCTAATTTGAATTAAAGCAGAAAGATTGCGGGTAACACCATATGTGGAAAGTATACATATGGTGTTACCCGCAATCTTTCTACTTTATCTCATCCGCTAAGCAAAGCTTCAAGTCATATATTAACTTGAATTCACGCCCCCCCCCCAAAAAAAAACAACACAGCGTCACAGCGCCCGCAATCGTTAACTAAATTCATTTGAAAATTTGTCCCCCTGGTTTTCCCCCTTTTATATTTCACTCCACCTTGCGTCAGCGTGTTGATTTGAGAACGTGGGGATGTTCCTATACAAAACATCCTTTGGGTTAAACGTGGAGAGATAGAGGGCCATCCTCCCTATATCCCCACCCTCGGGTTTACGACCCTGCTTGATTGACCCTACGCAGGTCTGCGTCAGTGTTTATGATTTGAAAAGCAAAACAAAATACAATTTGTCAAATGTGTATTGCCAGTAAAATTAATGAACAAGGTGAGTTATAAATAGCGACATCTCGAAATTGCACTTTTGGAGGGAAGCAAGAAAGAGGTCTCAAAAATAATTCCTTTCTACAATGTAAAGTTGCACTGCGGGGGAGTTAGTGCAGTTGTTCCCATTTCCCCGACCCGGGGGGGGGGGGGGTACTTGTCCTCTGCCCCAAGGTTCATCGTGTGAGTGAACATTTACTCGTGGTTTTTTGTCGATTATTTAAAGAATACAAAACATGTGAGTCGAAGTTACCCTCAACAACGCCCCCTTAAAAAGAGGAAATTTCGAAAATGTATTGATATAGAGGATGAACCCCAAAAAGTCATCCAAAATTAATGAGTCGGTTTGATCAAGTTTTGAACTTGACACTGCCAGTGTGCTAGTCTTGATCCGAGACCGGCTTGGATTTTATTCCCCGCCAAACGGTCCCTGACAAGCGCGCCAAAGCTGCGCCGCCGACTGAATTTCTTTGGGAACTTTGGCACCGCTACCCAGAAAATTCCGAGTTTACTTCACTCTGCTGTATATTCAAGCTAATACGCGCGCGTGAGGTATGCTCGGAAGTTTCTGGGTAGCGGTGCCAAAGTTGCTATGACTGGATTTGATTAATCGTGGAGTTTACCGTGCTTGGGACCTGCTGAAGAGAATACAATCGGGCAAATCCAGTCAGTGTCGCGGACAAAGTGGGAATCTGCGCAAAGTTGGAATTCCCACTTTGCCTGGCTGGGCAAACTGGGAATTCCAATACTGCCTGGCAAAGTGGGAATGAATCAAGATGTTATACATGAATCCATTCGTATCCAAGTTGTAATTCAAAATGATTCCGATTTGCCCAGGTCCAGCAATAGCGCGATGTGAGAATGTTGCCGATGATCACTTCAGGCACCTCCCCTTAGATTCTAGAAGGTTAGAAATAGACCTAGCCCGTTCCAAAATATTGTCACTCATCAACTTGATTCCCACTTTGCCCAGGTTTGCTACAGCGCAATGTGGGAATGCTGCCCACAAATTGTCAACAGATACATTTTAGTTAGCATGTTTGCTGGAATAAATGTTGGATGTACAACTGCATTCCCACTTTGCCGCGCAGTATTTGAATTCCAACTTTGCCCTGGGCAAATTCCGAATTTGCCCAGATTCCCACATTGCGTGTGGTTGCATTATGAGTTGGGATTTTTCAGCTTGCGTCAATATCCCTGATATTAATGGCTGACTGAGAATCATTAATGATAAGGCCAAAAAAAAAGTCTTCGGTTTCTGGTATGCGCGCGCGTTGCCGTAGCCATGCGCGTCGGCAAAATGAAAAAGTTTTTTTTTTCAATGAAAGATGATGTCTCAAAACCGCCAAACTCAGTGTCGTCACCTTTAAGTTCGATGAGGGGGTGACTAAATCAGACTGGAAAAAAAACCTTTGAAATAATGGAACACCAGCAACCGTGCAATCGTAACTGGGCGGGGTGGGGACGGCCCATTGCTGATAGCAAAATCACAAAAGCTCGACATCAATTTTGAGCTGGATCAAAGACTTTAGATTCTTAATTAATAAGATGGACGTTAACTCACGGCGACCCATCTGTACGCTTGGTATTGATTATTACTGGCAATCTTCGGCCAATTGAATGAATCATCACATTATTTTAGTAGCATGCCCAGGAACGACGCGCGAAGGAGTCTTTATATTAAAACTGGAGGTTCGTGTCTGTTCAAGTGGTGAATCCGTGTAAATGGAATGAAGTTTTCTTTGAGAAACCGCGCCTTTGACACAAATAGGTCACGAAACAGAAGTGGAGCTCCTTTGGGCCTCAAACGGCCACATCTTCTAATAGTTTTGCCGCGGGATGGTGTCATGTTAAAGCACCGCAAATTTGCACCCAAACACAGTGGGACATCTGCCGATTCATCTCCAGGGCGTCACGCAGATTCAGCTGAGCCACAAGATGTTTGATTCATACATCACCTTTTATCTTATATCCGTCTTTCTCATGCCTCAGGCAGGCCATCCCTTTATGTTTACTTTTCCCCCGTATCTTGTCTCATCTCACTTACATGAGATGGAAAACGCGCAAGATAAAACTATCCTGACGGCCGACCATCAAGCCCAATTTGC